AGTACAGAGTGATCCGAAAAGGAATGGTGCAACTCCAGATAAGAACAGCTTTACTTTGCACCATTCATGTTGAATCACCCAATATATTCTTCAGAAAACCTTCAAGGGCTGCAGCCACACTGCAGAAATAATCCAGTTCGACACCACTTTAACTGCCATGGCTCAATGTGATGCAATGCTGGGGACTGTAGGTTTGTGAGACATTTAGCCTTCTCTGTCAGAGAGAGCTCTGGTGCCACAATAAAGTATAATCCCCATAATCCCATAGCATTAAGCCGTGGAAAGTTAGGTGGTGTTGAACTAGATTATTTCTGCAATGTGGATGCAGCAGCCCTTGAAGATTTTCTGAAGAATATTCAACATGAATGGCGCAAAAGTAAAGCTGTTCTTATTTAGTTTTGCACCATTCTTTTTTGAATGACCCTGTGATCTAAATCTTGGCGGAGCTAAGATCCCATCCACACTGCAGAGATAATCCAGTTTTTTAATCACACTGTGATTCAAAACCAGATTACTTCTGCAGTGTGAATGGGATCTTAGCTCTGCCAAGATTGTCACCCTGTAAGTCTTGCCGATTGTGGTCCATTCTCTGGAAGGCAAACAAGCAAATAAACCCTGTACTGCATTGGTAAGGAATAGAATTGCTAATTTCATAAAAAAAACAAAGGAGGCCAAAAGCATCCCAACAGTGTCATGTATTTGAAGTGATTTTGCCTGTGATCCTATACCCGCTTTCCGGGGAGTCAACCCCATTGAAATGAACTAGATTTCCTTTCCAATAGGCTTGCATAGGAGGACTGTGATCCTCCTTTCAGTTTCTGGGGACTGCCGCTATAACTCTATGTTTAGTTGCAACTGACATAAAAGCAGTCTAAACATTCAACATTGATTAGCATCTTAATTAGGTTTTGGTGCTTTGCTTGTTTGTTTGTTGTAAGAAGCAATAAGTCACTGTTTACAATGTGGATGTAAAGACTTCTGATTGTCTGGCAGTAATTGCATTTGCAGAGTTGCCTGTGAGTGTGTCATTAAAGCAACCTCCCTCTCCTTCCTCCATCACTACTGAAGTTTTTAATTTTATTTTGTTTCGCAATGCCCATTACCATTATTTTTTTGTTAATGGTTAAGATTTTCTTGTTTACCTAATTTGACATTGATTTCAGTTTAGAGTACAGTTAAGACAACAAGGGCAACTTCCCATCCGCTTATAAGCATTTTTCCCCCCCAAAGGATACCTAAAAGTTGAGATTGCACAGAACTTCACAAAGCTGAACCTAAGTCTCATTAATCCCCGCTATGTAGACCTAGTGATTCAAGGATAAACCAACACTTCCATTGATTTGTTGTTATTTTTTGTTGTTGTTGTGTGCCTTCAAGCAATTTCTGACTCATAGCAGCCCTAAGACAAAACTTATCATGAGGATTATTACAATTATGTTTATGATTATGGTTGCATTTATTACTATTATTAACTTGCTATTATTGTTGTTTGATTTAACTTGCATTATTTCAGTGAGTTTACTTTATCTGGGATTAGGAACTCAGGCAGGATTGACAACCATGTGGCACTCAAATTTTGTTGGACTGCAAGTCCCAGCCAACTATAGTGAACCCACCTAATGTTTATGATTACTGGGAGTTCTAGTCCATCTGGAAGGCCCATTGAATTCCACCCCACTATTAAGCCTCTGACCTCACTTTTTCACACTCAATTGTGGACTCCCTAGCCTTGCTGGTGGCATGATTTTGTGAATTGTACTCTTAATAAAGACAACAGGGTGCTTTCAAGTTGTCTGACAGTTTTTGGCAACCCCATGAATTTCATAGGGTTTTCTTAGGCAAGGGATCCTCAGAGGTGGTTTTGCCAGTTCCTTCCTCTGAAATAGGGCCTACAGCACCTAGAGTTTGTTGGTGGTCTCCCATCAAAGGACTCGCCAGGGATGGCCCTGCTTAGCTTCCAAGACCGTATAGGATCTGGTGCCTTTAAACCACTGATAAATACTGATCGTGTCAGCACAATTGTGTAGCTTCTTCTTAGAATCAGACACTGTGTGTTGCTTTGCCCATATGAGTGTGGTTCACAAAATAAGAAAAATGATTACATCAGAACAAGCGCAACAATAACAAATGGTTACCAAAGCGTTGGTTTAAAAATCTCGTCTTTTCAAACGCAGGACTCCCTGAGGACTGAGACACTCAAACAATGCCTGATTGATTTACTTTGTCGTAAGCCAGTCATCTCCCTCCGACCCACGTACATCAACTGTAATCCATTTCGGAATAAGCCAGAATGTGTTTGCCATAAACCACATGATAACATTTGCAAGGGAATATGCTTCATTAGGCTCGCCTCCTGTAATACGGTTGGATCATTTGGTGGAGTGTAGACAGAAATCATTTCAGGCCTAATCCTTCAGGCAGAGGGAGCCCCCGTGTGTTTGTTTCTTAAACACTTTCCTAATTGAAGTTCTCATTTTCTTTCTCTTTTTCTTCTCAATGGGAAGACTTTTTTATTATTATTTTAATTTAGTCAGCCATATAATGCTTAGGAGGCTCAGGTCGGATTGCTGCTGCACATGAATGAAAATAATTGCCAAGATTGCCTACATGTTGTTTCAGTTTCAGTTATGGATATACAAAACAGGCAATGTAAGATGCCCTCAGACTTACAAACTGAGCTGGTGTGCAGGCTTTTTTGACTCCTCAAACACCAGGTGGAAAACCAGAAACAAATAAACGTGAATAGAGTCAGCCGTCCATATTCACGGGTTTCGAACCCATGGATTCAACCAGAGCTTAAAATCTGTCTGTCTAAAGATACATTCCAAAAAGCAATGGTTGATTTTAATAAGAAACACCATTTTGCAGTTGGCCCTCCATATCCACAGATTCTCTACCCACACATTCAACCATCCCTGGCTTCGAAATATTCCAAAAAGGATAAATTCCAAAAAGCAAACCTTAATCTTGCCATTTTATATAAGGGACACAATTTTACTATGCCATTGTATTTAA